GGGCCCCCCAGTTGTCCCAGCGCTCACCAGACGTCATCGACCAGTAGCACGGAGCCGTCGGGCATGACGGGCAAGTAACTGGCATTGAAGTTGGGCAGGATCTGCACATCCCACAGCGAGATCTCCTCCTGGGACCAGCCGTTGAGCACTGGGGGTCGGGGACATCAGGGGACAGCACTGGGGGGATGCCATCGTGGCCCCAACCAGCCCGTGTCACACACACACACACACACACACCCCCCCCATGCTGTCACAGCTGCTCCACAGATGCCACCTCTATCCCAGCCACCCCAAGCCCCCATCCCAGCCATCGCTGGGACCCCTGTCCCCATCCCAGCCACTGCCCTGTCCCCATGCCATCGCCCTGTCCCCCCCTCACCTTTGAGCACGGTGAGGTACTTCCCGGACACGGTGAGCTGGCGGCATCGCACCACGGGCGGGGGCAGCACGGTCAGCAGGGTGCTCACTGCGAGGACACAAGGGCGGTCAGGGGACACGGGATGCGGGAACACGGGGAGGGAGAGGGGACACGGGGATGGTCCTACCCTGCGCCTTGAAGGCCCCCTGCTCCTGGCGGAAAACGTGCGCAGGCGCCCGCGTCTGCAGCAGGTTTAGGTACCCACCGCCCTCCTGCAGCTCCGGTGGCTCTGTGTCCCTTTTCCACACTGTCACCACAATCTGGGGACAGCAGGGACACGGGTCACGGCTGGCCCAGGGCTAGCCCTCAGCTCCCCGCACCCATACCCACGACTCCTCCTGCCCCCCCACAACTATCCCACATGGCTTTCATGGACCCGGGCAGCAGGAGCTGGATCCTCCTCCCCGTCTCGCGTCACTATGCTGTCCCCAAGGTCCCCACACTGTGACCAAGACTCCTCCTGTCCCCAAATTCTACCTTGCCCTAGATGGACCCAGAAAGGAAGAGCAGGGCTAGGTCTCTGCGGTCCCACGCTGTCCCCAAGATCCTGTCCCTGATGACTGCATTTTGTCCCCAAGGTCCCCTCCTGTCCCCAAAATCCCCACGCTGTCTCCGAGGTCCCCAAGATCCCCTCCTGTCCCCCCCTTGGCCTCACCTTGGCCTTGACCGTGCCAGGTGGCAGCTTGTCGAGGGAGATGGTCA